TAATGCAAACAAACTCCAAGCTCAATATGTACAAGTAACACCCATAAAAACTGGGAAGTGCAAACGGACACCAACAAGGTCACACACATTACTTTTTCTACATTTATTATTGCAGGAAAAAAGGAGTTTATTACAGTTGACTTGACAGTTTATTTAAGAAAAAAAAAAGCTGATTTATCAGAATAAAAGACGCAGAATGAAAGTGCTCGCTTTGAAACTTCTGTTTACGACTTTCATATACATATACTTGGTCATTATACCTTTGTGAATTAAGTCAGACAGACAGTGAGGATACAGTCCCAGCACCTGTGGCTCAGGTGAGAAGAAAGTGGCCTAACCATAGTGAAACCAGTTGCTTAACTGTTCAGACTTGCAGCCTAAGCATTTTGATATAATAAGCATCTGTAGGGCCACAGCTTATCTGTTATGTTACCCGAGACCACACAATAAGTACGCAAAGCTGATGTGTCACACCCTCTTAGCTGAGCCAAAACCCATGAGCCATACGTGAAATGAAGCCAAGCTTAAAGTAGAAGCTTGCTAATGTATGAGATTATTATATATCCACAAACAGAACACAAACCCAGATCCAGATCTCTCATCGGTATAAACACCACTACCATGCTGACCCATCCACCCGTACCAAACCGCTGATTCCAGGGGAAAAGTTGTCGGGAACAGACGAGGCAGATCATATCAGCTCTCAGTGATGGCACATAAGCCAACTGCACGCGCCCCACAGTCTTTGAATGACTCTAAGAGCTTATTTAAAGTCACTTCCACTCACATGCGGAGCAGATTATTTTAGTGGCACAGTTAAATGCTTTGGCTGCTGAAGAGCAGACGCGTCCCTCCCGTGTCCTGGACTTTTAGCCAGGACGGACGTAAGCTGAATCCCACACGTGACCCTGGCTAACCTTGGTACCCAGAAATAACCGTGTCCTCTTCTGCAATACACAAACTAAAAGGGGAGGAGTCAAGGCAGGGAGTTGGGAGGCCAGCCACTGCCCAAAGATAACTTATCATTACTGACCTCTGAGGCGATGACAGGTCGCAGTAAAGCAAGTGGAAGCCCTTCTTGCTGGCCAGAGGGTCAAAGAATTCTAACAGATATAAACTGTAAATAAACATCTATAACTGCTGTGAGTAACCGACAGTGACCCTGAGGTCATTCAGCCTTTGTTACACCAAGGTCATGACCTTTAGCACGCCACCAGTAAGACAGAGTTAAAGAACAGAGCGAAATATAGTGTGACGGCCAGAAACACCTGAATGCAAACACTTCACAGCAGTGCAAGTTTTAATTAGCATTCCAGATTCTAGAGTTATTCTAATATAAATAACTGGGCAGGGCCTGAGCAAAGGCTCAGTGAGAGCAGCGCGTGCATTTGCTATCAGCTTTCTTAGCACCACTGCCATTACAATATTTCGAGGTATAGTGCACACTGAAGATTGGATTGGCATTCATGAGGTATCCACGGTGCGTACACATCGGTAGTAAGCAATGCCGCTGCTTACCACCTATGTCTAGATTTAATAAATGGTTAACAGGCAACAAAATAAGACTTGAGTGAGATGAGTGAGCGTGTTAAATATAAATTACATAAATCCTGAATATTTAAAAATAGAGTAGAACATTTATTTAACTTCAAACTTAACTTAATATTGTGGCAGGGACACTGAGCTACCATGAGGAAAGGAACCTCAGACTCTGGAGGGTTTTTGGTAAATGTTAAATGGACTGATTCTTATATAGCACTTTTCTACTCTACCAGAGTACCCTAAGCGCTCTATACAACATGCCACATTCACCCAATCACACCCATTCACACAAGCAAACAAACTTCTCCATCTGATCTGGGTATTGGAGCTTGCCTTTTGAAGCATTTTGCTGGGATTATTTGAGAAATAACATCTTGCTGTGGGATAAAGACCATCCAATAAGTGTATGCTTTGACTGCAAGAGTTACCAGATCTCAATCCAATATAGCAGGATGCAGATGCGGAGGAAAGGGAAACTGGATGTGCAGATGATAAATCTGTATCAACTGTGTGATACCATCATGACAATATGGAACAAAATCTCTGTTGAATCTATGCTATTATGGAGTCGGCCAGTTCTGAAGGCGCAATCCCAATACAAGCAAGGTGTACCTAATACAGTGGCAAGTGAGAGTATTTCATTTATTTATTGAACTTTAGAGCATCACTCTCTGTTGTTAAACTAAACAGAAATCTTGTATCTGTCAATACCACCGAAGCTCCACTGAAGTCACATTAGTTAATATTTCTCTATAAAGCAGAACAAACAGACATAAACAAAAGCACCACACACAAAAATGACTACAGCATCCTCTCCAGTCTGCCAGTTCTTTTGTTCCCCTGGAAAAATAAAAACCTTGCTCGCTCATAAATAAATTAGGCAGCTAAATTATAACATTCCCAGCTGTCACCTGCAGCTCCTTGTCCGGGGGGGGATTAGTCATCTCATCACAGCAGCACCGGAGATCAGCAACAGGGCTCCAATAAAAGGCTTTTAACCTTTGAGACAATCTGCCACAGTTCGCCGGTGTCACCATAATGACGGGGAGGAGTCAGTCATTAGTTCAATTTAGCCATCAGCAATTCTGTGATTAGCTATCAAATGAGAAATACAGAGACGTAATGTGCGGCTGGACTATTTGTTTTCCATGGACTGATTGAATAGTTATTGGCTCCCTTTTATTAAACACAAAAAACTACTGAGTCACTGAAGCATAATTTTTGAGATGGTCCAAAGAAAAGGTTATTGTTCTCCAAAAATTGTTAACAACTAAATCATTAACAAAGCTGTTAATTATTATATTCAATAAAGCCTCCTGTTGAAGCACAGGTGAACATCAGCCCTGAAATATATCACCGTGGAGAGCTAGATAACATGCATGTGACGTTTTTATGACACAGCCAGTGGAACAGCAGGTACAGCGGCCACTACAAGATTATACATTTATTATGCACTGAGCACACAATTAGCTTTGCATGCAAATACAAAGTGCCTTCACTGGGGGGAAAAAAAGAGCCCATAAAAGGCTTGCCAGTATAAAGGTCCACTACTTACATACATTTATCAGAGTGTTACTGCAGGACACACGACCTCTGTAAACTAATAGGTTCATTTATGTTAGGTTGAAAGATACACAACCTGATTTTTCCACTATTACGCAGCTTTACTGGTTTACTTCTCATAAAGGAAAAAGCTCTGAAAATGGCTTTAGGGGTGAGAGGACAGAGGAATCCTAAAGAATGAGTAAAGAACTGTGTGGCTACCTTACACTGAACCCGGTTGAGCAGGGGTGTCAAACATAAGGCCCGGGGCCAGAGACAGCACAGCTAAAACTGGCTGGCTTTGGAAAATGTGCAGGAGGGCAGACATTTTGGACTTTTCACTGTATTTTTATTACTTTTACAGCTCTTTCTACTGATAAAGAGCTCACCTATGGTCACATATACGATGCCAAAGTATTAGACAAACAATTAAAAGTTCATGTTTTTCAACTATTTACTATAGAAATGTGTGATTTGAAATAAACCTTCTCTCTCTACATGAGGAGATGCAAATAACAAAACCTTTGTGTTCAAAGATGATGTTCAGATTTTATGCTCATCAAGTCCAACTCATCTCAGTTAGCAAGAAGAGAATGCATCCCAACAAGAGCTCAGCTCTCAGACAGTTTTAAATGTTCAAAGTCTTTTAATATATGATATACAGTTGGTAAGTACAGCAGGGCTGTTTTTGTAATCGTGACCTGACCCAACTGTCTTGATACAGTGTTGACTTTAATTTGAGTTCAACAAAAGCTTTGTTTTATTATTACAAAACCAGACAAGTTATAGCATGTGATGATTTGGTTCTGTCTGAAAATGAAAATACATAAAGAGTGGCCAACATTTCTTAAGTTGTTTTTGTCTTGGCTTTGGCCTGGTAAGTGTTAAGACAGGCTGTTTTAAAAACATTTCATTAGGCCATTTTCTTCACTTAAGATGAAAGAATATAAAATAGCCTAATGAAATGTTTTTAAAACAGCCTGTCTATCCACGTTACCAATCCCTGTAACACTTACCAGGCCAAAGCCAAGACAAAAACAACTGATTACTGTTCCACGTAAGTCTGGAGTCAATAGATCCTTTTATAGCGATGTAAAAAAAAAAAAATGCGGATCTGTTGAACACCGTCAGTTAGAACAATAGTTTGTTGTGAACCAGGTAGCGTTTAATTAGGGTTTTGTGTAGATCGTTTTTCTTTTTTTAAATTCCATTTTTCACAAGAGTTTCACAAGAGGATGTGCTCCAAATGCTCAAACGGAGGACCAGACTGATAATAGTTGTGATCTTTGTTTACAGCTGACTCGTTTTTTCAACTTCTGAACCAAAATAGTTCGACAATAAATTGAATAATAAATAAATAAGTAAACAAAAATAAAGACAAGCAATTTTTTGTGTTTAGAATAACAAAAAAAAAACCGATTTCCGTAGTCATTGGACACAAGTATTCGCCTTGTTAGAAGCCACACACACACACACACACACACACGTGTTCCTAGTCTCTTTGCAGTGTGTTTTACATTGAATTCATGTTCAGGAAATGGTTCAGATGAGTTCTGATACTATGGCTTTTGCACAATAGCAAACCCCTCGTTCTCTAAATGTTTTACACACCTCAACAGGGACAAACACTACAGGTCTCCCTCCGCTTTCGCTCCAAAAACAATGAATGAGGCTTTTGGAGGTTTAAAAATGGGAACGTGGCTCCAAAGAGAAACGAAATACACGCACAAATCAGTGCGTCAGCCTGCCCACCACTCAGCACCCCTCACGCACACGCCGGGTACAAAAAGCTGCGCTGCTTTCTTCATTTCTACAAAGTCCAACAAACAAAAAGAAAACACACACCCACACTTTCTCCGAACACACGGCTCCGCCGCGACGAGACAATACAAAGCGTTAAAGTGAACAAGTCTTACCAGCGGCAGCAGAGAACTGGAAGTCAGTCAGCTGCTCACTTCCTTGTTTCCGCTGACTGACCCGAGCTGAAGGGAAACGGCTACTACCTCTCTCTTTACTTCTGAACTGCCTGTGAAGTTGTAAACGACATTTTAAGTTCACGTGAGGTCAGTGCTGGCGCTTTGCTGCTGCTGCTTCCTTCCTTTTTTTTCTCCTTTTTTATTCGGAAGGTATCGTTTGTCAAAGCTGTGACGTTACTCCCACCTAGCGGCCAAATTGTGCATCGCTGCAGACAAGGTGAGATGAATAAAAGGGTATAGTCCAGGGGCGATTTTAGCCCATTTTTGGGGGTGCTTCAGCAAAATAAATCAAAGCACCCCCAAAGATTTCTTACTTTTTTTGACAATATTTGCTGTTTGTGTGACACACTTATAAAAATATAAAAAGCATACAGTACTTGGTTGAGACGTAACATTTTAACAAAAATAGTATAGATACCCCCCCCCCCCTCCCTAAATGGTTTGTTCCAGCTCGGCTCTCCCCTACTCTGGCTCTAGCACCTGCCAGAGCGATGGTGGCTGAGATGCACCGGAGAGGAGTTGTAAGTGCCTGGCTTAAAACAGGACATATTAGCTGCATTTAACCTTCAGTTACTCTTTATATAGTTAGGTTAGATAGGAGTCAGACCATGTTTCTTTTTTGCTCCGATTGAAATTTATATAGCCTATTTAAAATCTAAAACTTAAAATTGTTTTAGCCTACTGTTGTTAAAACAATTTTAAGTTTTAGATGTTGTGCTTACTTTGTCATATGTGCATGTGCCGATATTAAATCCCGGAACAACATTCAGGTAAAAATGAAAGAACAAATGATCCGTCAATAAAGGATAATGTTGGATCAGTGTTTCAATATTTATATCTTTTGTTAGATGTACATGTGGTTTGGTTATTTACCTTTTGGTTGAAAGTACACTGAGAGAGGACTTTTTTTTATTATTGATCTTAATAATATATATATTTTTCAAATTAATGTAATTTTTTCATGTAATTGAATACAATCTATTTTTGTATGATTGTCAGTCCAAAGAGGGAGAGAGGAAAGAGAGGAACGTGAGGAGGAAGCACAAGGTCAGGAAGAAACAGATAAGGAAACAGACGGGGAACAGTGACAGGGACAACAGAAACTGTTAAACTGCTTGAGCGAGTTGACCACCAAAAAGTGACAGACAGATTTGCCAAACTCAAGGTGCAGCGACATAGGTTAAAATAAAATAAAAAAATCTGCAGAGCCGTAGTAGTATCTGCAGTAAAGTTCTTTTCATACATTGTACCATAGGCAAAGTTGCCTCCATTTTTATCATTTTTTATCAATATTTTGTACATTTGTACATTTCAAGGACTCTATTTTTGGAGTGTATTTTGTGTATTTTTTGTGTATTGAGTGTATTGTATTATAAATACACATTCAAAGTGAATGTCTGACAAAAAATGCACTCAGTTTACTTCTTACTCACTATGATCACCATTCATTATTCTCCCCCAGTAATTAAGGTTAGAATATGTATTTTTTTTTTTATTCCAATCCATTCTTCATTTGCAGCATTTAAATAACCTTTATCAGATTTGATGGTTTTGTTACAGACTTTTCAAAAAAGTGTTTTGCTTTTCTTTCACAAATGTGGGGATTGAATTGTGTTAAAATGTACAAAACAGTGATGTCATGTTTTGTGACAAGGACTCAGGCACAGAGAGACCTGATGAATTTAAGAATCTTATGATTTAATAAAGAAATTTGCAGACTTGCACAGAGGTGGTAAAATTATGATGACTGATAACGGAGATGAAGGCAACAGACGATGAGGACAGAGAGGAACAGGGGTTTAAATACACCAAGGAGACAGTCAGAGGTAACTCGGGACAACTGGAGACATTTAAGGATGCAGGAACTGACAGAGACAGGGAAGAAGTCTGATCGTGACGAGTAAAGTTTATCTTGCCTGGCTGGGCAGCTCTCTGGGTGCTCAGCTCCCCCAAAGCACTGATCCTAGAATCGTCCCTGGTATAGTCTAAAAATTTTATAGAATCTGCACAGCAATGATAGAAGAATTGTTTAATGGATTTTTTAAAAGTATACAAAAATTAAAAATTGCGCTTAAAAACATAAATGAAAATTCAGATATTTAAAAAGCTTCTTTTTCTTCCAGCCGCTCCCTCTAGGGGTCGCCAAAGGTCAATCATTTGCCTGAATCTCACCCTATCTTTCTTGTTCTTTCACACGAACAGTCTGCACGTCCTCCTTAACTATATCCATGAATGTTTACTGGAGATATGTGGATCAGAGAAGATTCATGGATCTTCTGATCTTCTTGTGGTCTTTGTCTTTCCCTTCTGCCTGGTGCTCCATATTGTCCTTCCTCTGTACACGTCCAAGCTATCTACATCTCGGCTCTCTAACCTTGTGTCCTGAGCTGTCCCACTCATTCCTAATCACCTGGTCACTCTCAGTGAATATCTTAACATCTTCAACTTTTCCTCCAGCTCTAGTCTCCTGTATTTTTGTCATCTCCAAACCACACATCACAAGTCTCACTACCATCTTGTAAACATTTCCTTTTATTCTTGCTACTATCTTTCTGTCACAAATAACCTCTGACATCTCCACCCACTCCACCCTGCCTGCAGTCTCATCTTCACCTCTCTTGTCCACTGTCCATTGCTGTGGATGGTTGATCCCATGAATTTCATCCATCCTCACTCATTCTGTTCCTCTTGCATCTGTCTCCATCTCTGTCACACACATGTAGTCTGTGTTGTTCTCATAAGTGAGTTTAGACCATTTTTGGGCTCCTACATTTCATCACAGTACCCCTAAAAACAAAGATACCAGTAATAATAATGTAGTTGTTTTATTATTAACAGAAGGACTTTTCATTAAAAGCCGACTTTTGTTTCTGCAGTAGAAAAAAGATGAGGGTGTAGGTGGGAGGTAATTTCATGACAAAAAGCAGTGGTGCAGATTTAAAACACATTTTAACCTGAATCACATCACCCAACTGCCTCCCTTTACCAGGCATCGTCCCTACACTTAGAGTCTCTACTATTACTGCGTTTCCTTCTCTCTTGATGCCTCCTGACACACTTTCCTCCTCGTCTCTTCCTTTGTTGGCAGGCCAGGCTCACATTTACACCTCCACTAATATTTAATTAAGAGTCCCTTACCAAGTGGCACCTCGACCAGACACTTTTGGTAGCCATCCGCGGGCTTCTGGCATTAATCTTGGGTGAATATTTAATGACTCTTCTCAGTTAGTTTCCTTGCACAGACCCAGCTTTTAACCATAATCTCCTCATTTCAATAGGGTTCAGTTGGGGGCATTGGTTGTGCCATTCCAGAAGTTTAATGCTAGCCTACTTTATCTATTCCTGAACCGATTTTGATCTGCGTTTGGGATCATCGTCCTGTTGAAGCATCCAGCTGTGTCTAAGTGTCAACTATCTAGCTGTCGATTTGAGGTGAAATTAAAGAATATGAAAGTATTCCTCCTTCTTCATTATTTCATGGATGGAAGGATGGATTGCATGCTTTGAGTTATATAACACACAAAGATTTTTAATTTCACTTTATTCCACAAGGCTGTCAGCTAAAATATGATGCAAGCTTCACATGTATTACTTCCCAATGCTGCAGTTCTCTTTGCTTCCCATGAAGTTGTTCCCAGCATGAGACCAGCACCGTTCACTGCCAGACAGCCTGGTGAGGCTGATGTGAATCTGGCAACCTGTCAAGAAAATGTGGAGAGTCTCTCTGCCCCATCATGCAGCAGAATAAGGGAAGCCAGTCTGTGCAGCACAAGGAAGTAGTGTTCACTAAAACCAGTAACCACCACTCCCTCCTTCTCTCATCTTCTCTCTCACCACCTATCCAGTGTTCAAAAATCTCCTTTTTACCCAATGGAAATTATGAATTGTGTGTGAAATAACTAACTAAATGCACTCTGAAGAACTCTGTCTCCACTGATTCGGTAAGCTCACTCTCATTCACTCTTATTTTGTATGCTTTAAGTCACGTTTCACTTGCAAGGAGACAAAAACCAGGAGGGAACTTTTTATTTGAAAGACTTCTTTGCTAAAAAGTCATTAAACTGTAAGCAGTAAAGTAACAGTGAGCATTTACAGAGGAGGTGGTTAAATGTGTGCACTGAGGCCAACTTAGCTTAATGTTAAACCAAATAAAAATAAAAAACATCTTGGATACTTCTCCTCATGTAGTTTTCTTGCATGGGTAAAGACTGTGAACAGTCATTACTGACAGTTAAAGAGGTGAACGGGTGCATCAAGCCTCTCTGTGTGCTACCTTCTCTCCTTTTCCCCCAAAGATTCCCTGAAGTGAGCGAACATTTTGTTATCGCTCTTCATTCCGTCGCATTTCCTTTATCTTCATACATGACAACACTGATATTTCTCACTGTGGTTTAATAATGCAGCAGTGACAGAGCGGCAAAAGAATCACCTTTGTTCTTTGTTTAATAGTCAACAAATGCAGTACAGTAGAACACAGTGGTTAAAATGTCAATTAGTGCATTTTAGTATAGTATTGTAATTAGGTTTTAAGGAAGTAAAACACTGCTAATTCATGCAGATGAGTAAATATTAAAGGAAAAAGGGATTCAGTGGCTCTATTCGCTGAGAGAATTTTCAGTTCATTTGGAAGGAAGGGTCACAGCAAATCAATACAAAGATATTGCAGCAGGCACAAAGGGTCAGTGTACAGTTGGATGAATGTGAAAGTAATGATCATGTGAAATCGCCTTTGCAGTCACCTGATCTCAATTCAACTGAACATCTATAGGAGAATTTAGTTGTATTAAACATCAAATAACATTCTCCACCGCCATCATGAAGACACCACTGAAGGAAAATGTGTTGGAACGATGATGCTTCATCCTCCAAAACAGTTCCAGAAACCTGGAGAATCTGTGCCTAAGTACAAAGTTGCTCTATCACCTCAATAAGACCATTTATGTTAGTATTTTCTGTAGTTTTTCACCCTGCTGTGCCATGGTCCTGGATATTTTTCCCAGTGGGATTTTGTGTGTGTGTTTATTTTAACAGCGTAATTCTCCTGTAATTAAACTGAATTCCAATGTATTTTAGTTGAAATTACAATGTAATTGTATCACAGCGTGCGTATAAGTAGCCTAAGTTTGCCTGTGTGCCTGTGTAACCAAAATATAACCACTT